TCAGCATCACGCACAATGAACCAAGTGTTGTTATTCAATTCGTTCGACAAGAACTCACTGGTAATACAACAAGTCACCGACGCAGTGTTTAACGCTGATTGAATTGGAGTAAACAAACGAGAGTAAATTGTACTATTGCGTGTGGTCATCTAACAGTCTCAGGACAAAACGATCTCAGCTTTAAATTATCTAATTGCATGTTTCTAACTTCCTTTGTTTTTCTTCATTTTGTTAAAAAGCCTTTTTTTTTGCTTATGATTGTAAACCGCCAATCTATATTTGTTTCTTTTTCTCTTTTTTCACTGGCCAGGGAAGTTATGGACATGCTTTACTTACCGACTTTTTCTAAAACCTCTTCGAATTTCCCAGACATCTTTAAAATTGGAAGCGTCACTATTGTGGTTATAGGTAGGCCTACGTTCCGTTTATCACGACGTATTAAAACCGAAGTGGTCGCTCAATCTATGCTTTTCTCAGTGTGTTGTGTTTCAGCCAGTCCTGAGTTCAACCTTGTCCTGAGTCAGCTTTGCCTCCTCGTTTGCAGGCAATGACCTCAAGTACCTTTTGACTCGGAGATCTCCTCCCCCATCACACTTCTGCGCATGCTTTCGCGCGTTATCTAATGTGGCGTGAAATTCATACTGGGAGAGCGGGGTGGGTTGGAATACTTTTTACATTTTGGACTATAACTCGGCTGTCGAAGGTCGGAAGGAAGAGCTGTACAGCACTTGACAATAGTCAGATATTTGCCACACATATCTTGATACAAAACATCCAATGGCTTATTTCGGTTATCAGAAACATGTGAGTAAACATGCTTAACCAAATATTCCAACTTGCCCCAACTGCGAGGTAAGTTGGAACTAGGTGGGTAAGTTGGAACTTTTGGGTTATTTAATATTATAAGACAATTAGAGTGTCAGAATTGATTATCCAACACATATATAATATATTGATTATTTCTCAATTGACATTGCTCTCGATTCACTATGGTTTATGGCTGTTCGCCCCTTATTTTTATATCTACACGTTTGCGTTATTTCAAATAGACATAACAATAACCAAACTACAAAAGATTAAGCACCAAATTTCCTTTATTAAAAAGAAAAACAGCAACAAAAACAGCCACACTGTTTAATTTCATCAATCAGCTAGCCTCCGGTATAGAGTAGTAAACCAGTCCTCTCCTGCAGATCCCCGCGGGGGTCTTAATTTCATTCGGGGCCGCAGGCTGCTATGTCAATATATGTATAGGCTGCGATGACTGTAGCCAACATTTTCCTTTAATTCACAAAATATTTTGCTTCCCCTATGTCTGCCATGTACGTTTGTCAAGCCGTGAGTTACTGTTACTTTTTAATATCAAACCAATACACATTTGGAATAGAATATTAAGAGGCATCGGATCTCTTCAGGTGGCCCCACCATGGAAATGGCCCTGCGGAGCATCCCAGAAACATCTTTCTTTAAAATGTTGAGCAGTGCTTATTTGTTTTTCATGTTCATTCTCTTGATTTATTCCTTAAAAAGAAAACGTAAAAACATAAACATAAGAAATAGAAAATAAAAATCACAAAATAATTAAATGCAATATTAGCACAAACATTATGTGGGGGAGATTGGGACAGTGCTGCACTGCTAATGGTTCCAACTATCCCATGGTGTCTTCACGTTTTTATATCGTGATATCCCTCTCCATGAAGAAAGAATGGGCAACGCTCTGCTATTTAGGTACCAAATTATTATTATAATTTTTTTGGGGGGAGGGGGGTGAGTGGGGTCACCCTGTAAATTATTTTTAAAATCCGACTTGTTTTATCTTTTCGATTTAAATTTATCTGCACTGAGAGAAAACTAATCACACACCTTTTGTGATATCCCTCGCAACTGATATTTTATCTATTATTCCTACAGCACACGAGGCCAAATAATGTATACATAAGATAATATAAATGTGCATAGAATAAAACGTCGCTGTACTTGACCCTTAGATGAAGGGGGTTTAGGTGCAAGATATGTAAAGGGGTGTTCAAAATTCTTGACAAAATAGGGTACAGAGCAAAGTTAAAGCAGTCACTTTAAAAACGCTCATTTACGTTCACTGAACATAATCGTAGCCGTTTGACATATTTTCACAATTTTTTTCAATCATTTATTTATTTATTAATAGGCTATTTGAAAAGCTTCATAAGTGAGAACTTAAAATGATAACGCATTTCCCAATAAGTATATTGTAAACAACTCATAGAAATATAATAAATTCTATTTTACCACCATGATAGTCGTGGCAATTATTCTGGAATTTGTACGTGACGTCCATAGATGGCTGTCCTCTGTTCTAATCTTTAAAGAGATTATTGAAAAAAAAAAAAACGGGACGAACTTTGAATGTCACAACGGATTCATTAACTATTGGTAAGTATGGTAAAATTGTCGTTTACCCCAGGAAAATCTATTTTGGTCAAAATTAACAGTTGTTAGCCCTTAAAATTCAAAGTTCTTCAGGAGGTTGATTTTGTCCATGCAACACTGTTTCTTTGGATCCTCTGGATCTCTCATATGTCAAAATAGCATGACCACGAGGTGGATTTATTGCAACCATCCAAAGAATCATTTTCACATGTGCCAAATGTTTCAGTTTGTGCATATAGAGTATATTGTAAAGTAATCAACACATTTTAAAAAAAATTCAACTTGCCTGATGTTGTAGAGCTACTGATTTAGTAAGTCACTCTAACACAATCAATATTTGCTCTTTTTTTCCTTATTTTAGCTGTGAAACTTTCTATCCAAATCTTACATAAAATGAGGATTAATGGGTACGTTTGGTGTTTCTCTTGGTTAATAAGACCAATGCGTTACGCGCTACCATGTAAAACCTATATTATTGACATCTATGTGAAAATTATCATGAATACAACACCCAAATACATTGCTTTAAATCATTATCTTTCTTTAATGAACTATGCTTTATCTTAATCTGACTTATGAAGAGAAATTTCGGCTTCCCTTTCCTCATGAGACCAATGAGTAATTCGATAAGCTTATTTTCTTGACATTTTTACGAGAATAGCAGTATCATAACCAATTAAGACACGGTTTTGTCATGTGGATGTTACCACAGATAATGATTTCTGCAAACTTTATATCTCCTACGTTGGGTCACTATAAAAATAGATAAAGAGTCTTCTGTGACAGTCGTTCGGTATAAATGAACTTTTTTCGTACATGCGAGTATACTAGGATTTTTACGTGCAAACATATGCTTTCCATATTCATACGTTGTGTTACCCGCCGTTTCCGTTCGTGGAAAGGAAGCAATGAGTTATTTGGGGAATGCAGTGGTGAATTTGGCTGTCAAGAACGTATCGTTATGTTATACAAACTGTACACATCACAAACATAATCCACAGACATGCAAATTAATTTTGGAATTATGGAATCGCTTGTATGTGCACGTGAAAGCGATTCGTTTAATAACGGTCTTTAATTAAGTTTTCCATGCATCGTGTTTGAGTTTCATAGTCAAAACTACAGCGCAGGCCACCTTGAAGATTCTTCAGAACAGATATCTTGTCTGAATAATTTTAGTCTATCTAATCTGTAAAATGCCTATTTGGTTTGAGTATTAAGCTGTTTGAGTATTTTCTCGATTAGAACGTAGACAAAACAAACTATGAACAACAGCAGCTGAGGGTTGTTAACAAGAGAAATGGGGATGCCTCATATTTTGATTCCAGGGATTGCAATCATGACTATACCACTAAAGCCACCGATAAGATTTGTATCGACATTTTTGCCAATGTAAATAATAATAATAATAATAATAATAATAATAATAATAACAACAACAACAACAACCTCCCTGGTACCTTATATTAGTGATATCCCCCAATTGGCAAGCTTACGTTTTATTTACTTATTCATTTTTATCAGTATTGCAATGCATGTCCACCCAATGTCCTTTACAGTTTCTTTAGGGACTATATAAACAGTCAGGTTATGTAAGACTAATGCATTTAGTCATACGCACAACTATTACCAAGAATGCTTCGATGCTTGGATCAGCATTTCTAATTTCCTCCATGTGCAGATAGCCAGGGACTGGTATTAGATTACGCCAAAGTAATACGGAAAGATGGTGCCTATGTTTTCTAATGCCACCTGAAACACCCAACTGTTCGAGAAAGCAGTTACCAGCAAGGTTCTATACGTCGAGCGTAGCTCAGATATTACTAGCGCAAAGAGGAAAGATCCCAAGCAAAGATTGGAAGCCAGTGCAAAGCACTCTGCATGTAGATTCCAACTGCTATTGCCCTGATATATCAATTGTAATGGATATTAAGATATTTGTGCTTTTTGGTCTGCTGTTATTGACAGGTAAGTGCGTGATGTGTCGAAATGATTTAAGATTATTTTAAAAAGAACTGCCGGGGACACAATTTACGCGAAAATGTTTCGATAAATGAAAGTCGAGCATCAATATGAAACAGAAGTATGTATTTGTTAATGTTTTTTTAACTGTGTAATTCTTATCGACAAAATATGTACATTGTAGGACTTGAACGATGTAGAAGAAACACCAACAACAGAAAATTTGCAAAACATTTTTTAAAGAATGTTGTCACGGTCCCTGAGAATGAACACTC